AGCGCATCCCCTGGGGCTCCTGTTGTCTTTTTCCAGCTTTCACAAAGCTGCTGCCAACCAGGAAAGCCCATCTCTCTGGCACAGCATGGAGGGCCAAGCCAGCCAGCCCTCCTGCACCCTGCCCTTCGCTCATCCTCTCCCCAGCTGCCCCATGCCCCCTGCACTGTGGTCGCGTGGCGGTGCTGTGTCCCTCATCCTGCTGCAGCATCCTCCAGCCCGCAACCCACACAGCCCTGCTGGGGTCCCACCTACCCCAAAGAGAGGGAGAAGAGAGAGCGAGACAGGGAATGACGAGGGGACGTGGGGCAGGGGGCTGTGGCCCCAGTGAGGCACTTGGCTACTGCTGTAATGGGGGCAAATAAACCCCCGAGGTGGCCAGGGAACAGCCTGAGGTGGGAAGAAAGCCCAGCTGAGCCGCTGCATGGGACGGGTGCAGGACCTGGGCCACGTGGGCTGCAACCCCCTTGCTGCCCAGGCATTAGCTTGTCCTCTGGGAGTGTGTTGCCCTCTCCTTTATTGCTTCAACTACTTGTTCTTACACAGGGAGGAGGAAGGAGGAAAGCTGCTGGCCGCCAACCTCAAGGCTCACTGAGAGGTTCACAACTCATCCCTCAACCCCACCGAGGGACATTTTGCCCAGAGCTGGCAGATGTTGCTAACTCTGCTGTGGACATCGCAATACATGGCCACCCCTTTGCAGGCTTTGCTGCTGGAGCCAGGAGCTTGCAGTGGCTGGAGCAGATATTTCGGAGTCAGGTTCCTGAGCACCTACAGAAAGCCCTGAGACCAGGAGAAAAGATCTTCAGAAGTCTTCTTAAATATTTCCTGGATTTTATATCGGTGGTGTCACCCTGGGCATTTTGATTTTGGACATTCAAGGTCTCAGAGTAGACAACCTCCCTTTCTCCTCTCAGTCACTTGCCTTCCTCTCTGTGTGGGCTGCCTTCCTGTACAGCCTCAGAAAGGGAAGCCCCCATTTTCCGAAGAGGTACCCAAGGGCTCAGCTTTCTGCACACAGTTTTCCACCTCTTGACTCCCACAGAGGAATCCAAGGAGCCAGCTGAGGAACAGCCAGCTGGGGAGGTCAGGGTGTGCAAAACCAGGGCCAGACCTGTGAGAGGCACCTTGAGACGTGAAACATGCCTCCCTGGTCTCCTGGGAATGGCTCTGTTTTATGTGCCAGAACGCTAATGCTGCTAGGAAGCCTCATTAGGGCTCTGACTGGCTGGTCAAGGGGTAGCGTTATGCATCCTAGGCACATCCCGTAGCCCCTCCAGCTGTCCCCTGTAATGAATACATGGTGGGGCACTATGGCCAAGCACAGCAGGTATGCCAAAATGGTTAGCCGAGGTTAACCGCTTACATCCACTCTTTGCATTGCCACCCTTTTCCCTGCTGCTTTCCCGTAGCCCCTCCAGCGGTCCCCTGTAATGAATACAGGGTGGGGCACTATGGCCAGTCCAGCTGATAATGAACAGAGGGTTAGCCGAGGTTAACCGCTTACATCCACTCTTTGCATTGCCACCCTTTTCCCTGCTGCTTTGTTCTATGTTCTAAGTGAAGCTCATTTAAGAGGCCGGTGGCTGGTGGTACCTCTGCTGCTCGGTTCCCGGTGGGAGCTGCTGGGGGATAATCTCTGGCTCACAGGAGATGCTCCACTCAGCTCTGGAGCAGGGAGAGGTGCAACATCTGGGGCCGGGGCATGCAGGGCCAGAAGGACAACGGGTGCCTGGAGAGGTCCTGGAGGTCCCAGCTAGCTCCTGTTTCTGGCACTCACAGATCCACCCCAAAACCTCTCCCTGGAAGGCCGGCAGCAGACACTGCTACTGCAGCACACCCTTCATGTCTGCCTGCCTCTAATGTTCACAGCAGCTAGCTGGGGACAGAGGTGGCCCCACGCGACCCTCAGGGGCTCAGGTAGTGGGGACTAACGTCTACTCTGTCCCCATAACCCAGATACAGTCGCATCCCCTCCCCCTGCCTTCCCGTCCTTTGTCTGAGTGGCAAGAGGGAGGGAGGGCTGCGAACAGTCGCTCACCACAACCCAGCTTCCAGCAAAGAAAGGCTATTTAACCCCCACATAACGCACGGACAGCCTCGCTGAGGCTCTCCTCTCATGCGGGATGCGATCCATCAAGAGGGATGCATTCGGAGCCTGAAGGTGCCTGGCAGGAGCGGGCCCTTGGCGGGTGATGCGAGGTCCCCAGGAAGGAAAGCAAGCAGCTGCTTCAGTAGCAGAGCCTCCCTGGGGCTTGCAGGCATTGGGATCTGCTCCTTGTTTCAGATCTGCAGAGGTGCTGGACTGAGCATCTCTCCGCTCAAAAAATCGCTTTTCCCCCTTAGTTTCCGTGATGACCCCAGGGCATTCCTCCCGGTTGCGCTGGATGCACCGCCTGACCTCAGGGTGCAGAACAGAGCCATTCTTCTTACCAGATCTTTTTCCCTGGACTGGGGATCACCAGGCATTTTGAGTCAGGCAGGAAAACTCATCCCAGCCCTTGGGGCTGCCGCAGCCTTCCCGGCAGCGACGTTCCTTCCCCTCAGCGCTCTGCAGAGGGCTTGGGCAGGAGCCCGGCTCTGCCAGGGCCGCAGTTAAATCTAGGGCAGCGTGTGCCGAAGCCTCTCTGGAGATGCAGGAGCTGGAGGGGAAGGGGCTGGGGCCAACC